TATATGTTGAAATTCTAGCCCCTGGTATCTGTACATGTGAGCTTATTTGGAAATAAAGTCTTTGCAAATGTAATTGACTTTTTTGTTTGTTTGCTTGCTTGAGACTGAGTCTTGCTCTGTCACCCAGGCTGGAATGCAGTGGCATCATCTCGGCTCACTGCAACCTTCACCTCCTGGGTTCAAGCGATTCTCCTGCTTCAGCCTCCCAAGTAGCTGGGATTACAGGCACGTGTCACCATGCCCAGCTAATTTTTGTATTTTCAGTAGAGACGGGGTTTCACCATGTTGGCCAGGCTGGTCTCGAACTCCTGACTTCAAGCGATCTGCCCACCTCAGCCTTCCCAAAGTGCTGGGATTACAGGCTCCCTGCCCAGATGTGATTAACTTCTAACCGCTAGTATCTTTGCATATGACTTTATTTGGAAATAAGGTGTTTTTTTGTTTGTTTTTTGAGACAGAGTTTCACTCTGTGGCTTAGGCTGGAGTTCAGTGGCACAATCTCAGCTCACTGAAACCTCTGCCTCCTAGGTTCAAGCGATCCTCCCACCTCAGTCTCCTGAGTCACTGGGACCACAGGCAAGCGCCACCACACCTGGCTAATTTTTGCAGTTTTTGTAGAGATGGGGTTTTGCCATGTTGCTCAGGCAGTCTCCAATTGCCACCCTCAAGCAATTCATCCGCCTTGGCCTCCCAGAGTGCTGGAATTATAGGTGTGAGCCATGGCGCTTGGCCAGAAAGTCTTTACAGATTTAGTTAAATTAATGACTAAATGATTCCATGCTGAGTTAGAGTGGGCTCTAAATCCAATGATTGATATGGGGTTATAAGGAGAGATATTTGGAGACATAATCACACTTCTAGGAAAGGTAGCCAGGGGAAGACAGAGGGAGGGATTACAGGGATGCAGCTACAAGCCAAGGAATGGCAGAGATTGCTGGCAGTCCCTCAGAAGCAAAGGAGAGGAAAGGAAGGGTTCTTCCCCCGAGACTTTCTAATTTTTCTTTTTTTTTTTGAGACCGAGTCTCACTGTTGTCAGCCCCAGCTGGAGTGCAATGGTGTGATCTCGGCTCACTGCAACCTCTGCCTCCCAGGTTCCAGCAATTCTCCTGCCTCAGCCTCCGGAGTAACTGAGATCACAAGTGCCCGCCACCATGCCTGGCTAGTTTTTGCATTTTTAGTAGAGATAGAGTTTCACCCTGTTGGCCAGGCTGGTCTCAAACTCCTGACCTCAGGTGATCCCCCCGCCTCCGCCTCCCAAAGTGCTGGGATTACAGGTGTCAGCCCCCGAGACTTTAAAAGCATGGCTCTTCCCCTGACACTTTAAAAGCTTGGCTCTTCCCCTGAGACTTCAACACCTTGGTTTTGGACATTTAGCATTCAGAACTGTGGGAGAACAAGTTTCTAGTGTGTGTGTGTGTGTGTGTTTTCATTTTATTTTATTTATTTATTTTTTTTAGACAGAGTCTCATTCTGTTGCCCAGGCTGGAATGCAGTGGTTCAATCTCGGCTCATTGCAACCTCTGCTTCTTGGATTCAAGCGATTCTCATGCCTCAGCCTCCCGAGTAGCTGGGATTACAGAGGAGCACCACCGCAGCCAGCTATTTTTTTATTTTTTATTTTTTGGACTTTTAGTAGAGACAGGGCTTCACTGTGTTGGCTAAGCTGGTCTCAAATTCCTGGCCTCAAGTGATATGCCTGACTTGGCCTCCCAAAGTGCTGGGTTTACAGGTGTAAGCCACCACACCTGGCCTAAGTTTCTGTGTGTGTTTTTTTTTTCTTTTGAGACGGAGTCTCGCTCTGTTTCCCAGGCTGGAGTGTAGTGGAGTGATCTTGGCTCACTGCAAGCTCCGCCTCCCGGGTTCACGCCATTCTCGTGCCTCATCCTCCTGAGTAGCTGGGACTACAGGTGCCCGCCACCATGCCCGGTTAATTTTTTGTATTTTTACTAGAGACAGAGTTTCACCGTGTTAGCCAGGATGGTCTCGATCGCCTGACCTTGTGATCCGCCCGCCTCAGCCTCCCGAAGTGCTGGGATTACAGGCATGAGCCACTGTGCCTGGCCGAGTTTCTGTGGTTTTAAGCCACCTCGTTTGTAAGATTTATGTGTGTGTGTTTTAAATTTTTAATTTAATTTTATTTTATTTTATTTTTTATTTATTTATTTATTTTTTTTGAGACGGAGTCTCGCTCTGTCACCCAGGCTGGAGTGCAGTGGCCGGATCTCAGCTCACTGCAAGCTCTGCCTCCCGGGTTTACGCCATTCTCCTGCCTCAGCCTCCCGAGTAGCTGGGACTACAGGCACCCGCCACCTCGCCCGGCTAGTTTTTTTGTATTTTTTTTTTAGTAGAGACGGGGTTTCACCGTGTTATCCAGGACGGTCTCGATCTCCGGACCTCGTGATCCACCCGTCTCGGCCTCCCTAAGTGCTGGGATTACAGGCAAATTTTTTATTTTAAATTATTATGGATACATAATAGTTGTGTATATTTATAGGACATATGTAACGTGGTTTTGGGTTTTAGTGTTTTGTTTTGTTTTGTTTTTTTGAGACAGACTCTGGCTCTGTTGCCCAGGCTGGAGTGCAGTGGTGAGATCATGGCTCACTGCATCCTTGACCTCCTGGGCTCAAGTGATCCTTCTGACTCAGCCTCCCATGTAGCTAAGACTATAGGCATGCCCCACCACATCCAGCCAATTTTTTTTTTTTTTTTAGTAGAGATGAGGTCTCACTGTGTTGCACAGGCTGATCTTGAACTCCTGAGCTCAAGAGATCTTCCTTTCTCACCCTCCCAAAGTGCTAGGACTACAGGCGTGAGCCACTGTGCCTGTCCTTCCGTGATGTTTTGATATGGGCACACATGTGTTAGTTTATAAAGTTTGTAATAATTTATCACAGGCTGCCATAGGAAACTAATATAGCTGAGTTTCCTGGTTCTTCTCTATATCACATCTGCTGGGGCTACATGTCCAAGGTGGCTTCTTCACCCACTTGTCTGATGCCTGGGCTGAGATGGCTGAAACATCTGGGGCTCTATCTCCACATAGCATTTATACGTGAGTAGCCTGGGCTTCCTTACAGCATGGCGGTCTCAGGGCAGTAGTACTTTTACATGGCAACCAGTTTCGCCAGAGTGAGCGTTCTAAGATTCAGAAAGTGAGAAATGACAGTTTCTTAAAGCTTGATTCCAGAACACAGCACAGCAAAACTTCCACCACATTCTACTGGTCAAAGCAGTCACAGAGTCACTCATATTCAAGAGGCAGAAGTACAGACCTCACCTCTTTAAGCCACCACAATGACAGGTGGTGATATGTGATTAGAGAAAGCCCTAAACAAGGACCTTGTCCCTCACCTACCCCCAAATACCAGGGAAAAGATGTCTTTCTTTTTTCTTTTTTTTTTTTTTTGAGATAGGGTCTCACTGTGTCATGCTGTGGTGTGATTTTGGTTCACTGCAACCTCCTCCTCCTGGGTTCAAGCGATTCTCCTGCCTCAGCCTTCCGAGTAGCTGGAATTACAGGCACCCACCACCTTACCCGGTTAATTTTTGTTAATTTTGGTAGAGACGGGGTTTTGCCATATTGGCCAGGCTGGTCTGAAACTCCTGACCTCGAGTGATCTGCCCACCTTGGCCTCTCAAAGTGCTGGGATTACAGGCGTGAGCCACCACAGCCAGCCGAAGATGTCCTATTTTTTTTTCTTCATTAGCCACAAGGCTTGATGGGGAATGTAATTTTTGTCTCCATGGGTTGCCTTAGCAAATGATGGGAAGAAACATGAATTTTTCAATGTTATGCTCCTAGAGTGCCATTGAAATGGTAGTTCTGGCTCTTTTTCTGACAGTCCTGAGGCATCCTGGAAAATAGAGCCCAGCCTTTATCCCCTGTCCCCAGCACATCAGGGGAAGTGCACTCCTGTCCTTATTCCTCACTGCAGTGCATGCAGGGAGCTCTGGCCATCAGATTATCTTCTATCCGTCTCCTGTCCCAAAGTACACTGGGAAATGTGGGGATGTCTCCTTAGAACAACAAAATAGTTGCAATCTTTGAAGTTTAGGAGACTAGAAGGTTAGTGTTCAGTGTGTGAGCTGGAAGGTTGCATTTGTAAGAATTAAAGAAAGAGGAGTTCAGGCGCGGTGGCTCATGCCTGTAATCCTAGCACTTTGGGAGACCTACGTGGGCAGATCACCTGAGGTCGGGAGTTTGAGACCAGCCTGACCAACATGGAGAAACCCCGTCTCTACTAAAAATACAAAATTAGCCAAGTATGGTGGTGCATGCCTGTAATCCCACCTACTTGGGAGGCTGAGGCAGAAGAATTGCTTGAACCGGGAAGCAGAGGTTGTGGTGAGCCGAGATTGTGTCATTGCACTTCAGCCTGGGCAACAAAAGTGAAACTTCATCTCAAAGAGAAGAAAAAGAAAACGAAACAGGAAAGAAACATGAAATGTGGCTTGACAGTGAAGGACAGGTTTATTTTAGAGAAAACAAACCTGAGAGGGGCTTTTGGCTGAGTTAAGTTAGAGAGCCCCCCCCTTTTTTTTTCAGACTAAGGATATTTAGGGGTTTTGGAAGGGGGAGCTTATCATAGGTCCGGAATGTTTTTATGTGAGGAAAAGTTTATCGCGGGGTTAGAAAGTCTCTGGTCGGAGGGGAGGCTATCTGGGGGTTGGCATGTTTTTGGTCAGAAAGGGGTTTATCTTAGAGTTGGAATGTTTCTGGTTATGCTGACATTAGCCATTAGGCTGATGTTTTGGGGCTGGATTTAGCTGATTTTTAATCAAGGGGATCTAAGAATGGTGGTGTTTGTTCAAGATGGCGATGCTCCTGCTCTGTCAGCATTTGGAGTCCAGAAATAGATGTGGAGGCAGCCCCCACAAGGACTTCCAAGGTAGGCAGGGGCCTCAAACATGACCCCTGATTCCAGGAGCCTGTGGAAAGGTGTCCCCCACCATTTATCCTCCCAAAGATACACACTACAAAGAAGGGCAGACCTGGCCTTGTTCACTGGTACAAAATCTTTATTTAAGTATAAAATAAATAATATGAATATTAATTAATAACAACGACAACACAACAGCGGCAACAATATTAATAATAACAAGAGCTCTCCCATTGGCCCATGGCCTTCCTCCAGCTTTTCTCTTCTGCTTCACACAACTTTGTGATAGGTGTTTTCACAGCTGGCAAAACTGAGGCTCAGAGAGGTCAGCACACTGGCCTGAGGTCACACAGCAAGTCTGTAGGGCTGGAGCCAAGGGAAGGGCAAGGGGTCCCCTGGATCCAGCCAGGGCAGAGAGGGGGGTTTCAGGTTTAGGTCCAGAGGAGAGTGCCTCCCCACAGTCTGGCAGTCATCAACAGAGTGATGGTGAGGCTGAGATGGGCAGGGCCAGGCTGGGGAGCAGCCCCCTTGCGGTACTGGATATCCAGGTCTGGGTGGTTACAGCCACTTTCAGTACAGCAGGAGACATTGATGTGGTGCATGCTGAAGGCGTCACCCAGGTGGGCACGTTGGCACATTGAGGCAGTTACACAGCCTCTTACCATATAGCTTTGGTTTTTCGGTTCTGAGGAAAGAGAAGACGGAGTGAGACTTCCAGCTCCTGGGCCCAGGACTGGAATTCTCCAGTAGGTGACCTGCCACCTTGCAGTGGGCGCCACCTTCACTACTACCTAGAAAAAGCAGCAGTTCTCAGGGCCAGGTGCGGTGGCTCATGCCTGTAATCTCAACACCTTGGGAAGCCAAGGAAAGAGGATAGCTTGACCCCAGGAGTTCCAGACCAGCCTGGACAACATACCAAAACTCTGTCTCTACAAACATAAAGTAAAAAAGCTGTAGTCCCAGCTACTTGGGAGGCTGAGATGAGAGGATCACTTAAGCCCAGGAGATGGAGGCTGCGATGAGTTATGATCACGCCACTGCACTTCAGCCTCGGCAACAGAGTGAGACCCTGTCTCAAAGAACAAGCAAAAAAAGAAGAAAGGAAGGGAGGGAAGGGAAGGGAAGGGGAGAGGAAGGGGAGGGAAGGGGAGGGAGGGGAGGGGGGAGGGAGAGAGAGAAGGAGGGAAAGAGAGAGAGGAATGAAAGGAAGAAAGAGAGAGAGAGAAAAAAAAGAGGAAGGAAAGAAGGAAGGAAGGAAGGAAGGAAGCAAGGAAGGAAGGAAGCGACAGCGGTTCTTAAAGTGTGGCTCAGGGACCCCTGAGACCCTTTCAGGAGATCTGTGAAATCAAAATGATTCTCATGATAATACTAAAACATGGCTTTTTCACTCTCATGTGTACAATGGACTTTTCCAAAAACTCAAGGACATGTGATATTGCAACAGACTGAAAGCAGAAGCTTCCATGAGGACCCAGCTGTCTTCTATTAAGCTGGACATTAAAGAGATGTGCAACACAGCAAAATCATGCCAGTTTTCTCTCTCTTTTTTTTTTTTTTTTTTAAGATGGAGTCTCACTCTGTTGCCCAGGCTGGAGTGCAGTGGCATGATCTTGGCTCACTGCAACCTCCGCCTCCCGGGTTCAAGCGATTCTGCCTTAGTCTCCCTAGTAGCTGGGACTACAGGCGCGTGCCAGCACGCCTGGCTAATTTTTGTATTTTTAGTAGAGACAGGGTTTCACCACATGGCCAGGCTGGTCTCGAACTCCTGACCTCATGATCTGCCCACCTGGGCCTCCCAAAGTGCTGGGATTACAGGCGTGAGCCCCCATGTCTGGCTGTCATTACATTTTTTCTTTGGAAACTATAGTCATTTTTCATTAAAATGTTATTTATGTTAATGTGTAATGAGTTTTTATTGTTATAAGATGAATTCATAAATAAACCTTTAAAGATTTCTCAGTTTTGGCTGGGCACGGTGGCTCACACCTGTAATCCCAGAACTTTGAGAGGCTGAGGTGGGCAGATCATGAGGTCAGGAGATCGAGACCATCCTGGCCAACATGGTGAAACCCCGTCTTTACTAAAATTACAAAAATTAGCTGGGCATGATGGTGCTTGCCTGTAATCCCAGCTACTCAGGAGGCTGAGGCAGGAGAATCGCTTGAACCCAGGAGGCAGAGGTTGCAGTGAGCCGAGATCGCACCACTGAATTCCAGCCTGGCGACAGAGCAAGACTCCATTTCAAAAAAAAAAAAATTCTCAGTTTTATTTTTATTTATTTATTTATTTATTTATTTATTTATTTATTTGAGATGGAGTTTCGCTCTTGTTGCCCAGGCTGGAGTGCAATGGCACGATATTGGCTCACTGCAACCTCTGCCTCCCGGGTTCAAGCAATTCTCCTGCCTCTGCCTCCCGAATAGCTGGGATTACAGGCAGGCGCCACCACGCTCGGCTAATTTCGTATTTTTAGTAGAGACGGGGTTTCTCCATGTTGGTCAGGCTAGTCTTGAACTCCTGACCTCAGGTGATCCACCTGCCTCAGCTTCCCAAAGTGCTAGGATTATAGGCGTGAGCCACTGCACCTGGTTCCCAGTTTTATTTTTAATGTGGCATTTATCTATAGAAATTGCTGACATAAACAATAAACAACAATTTTTTTTTTAGACAAAGTCTCACTGTGTCATCCAGGCTGGAGTGCAGCGAGTTGATCCCCACTCACTGCAACCTCCTCCTCCTGGGTTCAAGTGATTCTCATGCCTCAGCTTCCTGGGTGGCTGGGGTTACAGGTGTGGGCCGTCACTATACGCAGATAATTTTGCTATTTTTTTGTACAGACAGGGTTTCACCATGTTGGCCAGGCTGCTCTCATACTCCCAACCTCAGGTGGTCCTCCACCTCGCCCTCCCAAAGTGCTGGGATTACAGGCGTGAGCCACCACACCTGGCTAACAATAATTTTTAAGAGCATAAATAAGTTGAGACCAAAAAGTTTGAGAACCACTGGAATACAAAGATCTTTCCAGGACACCACAAGATAAAAGCCTAAGCTGTCTTCAGCAGATCCCCACAACCCATAAGAAATCTTGCCACCAAAGAATTCCATTTTTCTTTCCCTTTTTCTTTTTGTAGAAATGGGGGTCTTGCTATGTTGCCCAGGCTGGTCTCAAACTCCTGGCCTCAAGACATCCTCTGGCCTCAGCCTCCCAAAGTGCTGAGAGTACAGGCTTCAGCCACCGCATCCAGCCAGAATTCCACTTTTCTATGGCAAAAATGTCCGCATCCTGATGGACAACTCCTAATTCCTTACAACAATATTCACCCACCTGAAGGAAATCCCACCTTTTCCACAGGGAGACCCACCACAGTTAAGTCCAGCTTAACTGGAAGTCAATCTCTTGCAGAACTCTTCACCCGCAATAAGTGTTCCCTCCCAGCCTCGGAGAGGGCCTCACCGTAAGTGCCGGTGGCTACCAGACATTGATTCATGGGGCCTCGGCAGTCAATGAGGAAAGTCTCTTCAGAGGAGCATCCATGGGTGCTGTTCCCCTTGCAGCTGTAACACTGGTGGCCATTCTGTGGCAGATTTTCAAGCTCCAGGACTTAGGAGAAGACCAGAGACACAGAGACCAAGAAAATTAGTGCTTGGATCCCCACTTCCTTGAATGACCTCCCCAGGACTCCCACTCCGAGCCAGAGATGTCATGGAGCCACCTTGTGGTCAGGCGTCTGAATGGCATTTGGAGCGGGATGGTTTTTGAGTGCTTAAGAGAAACCGCAACTTTCAACTCCCCCAGCCCCATTTCTGGCCAGGCACTGTGCTGGGTGCTGGGTAAGCAACTATGTAAGATGAAACCGTCCTTGCCCTCACAGAAGTTACAATTTATTTATTTATTTTTGATACAGAGTCTCACTTTGTTGCCCAGGCTGGAGTGCAGTGGCGCAGTTGTAGCTCACTGCAGCCTCCACCATCCCAGCTCAAGAGATACTTCCACATCAGCCTTCTGAGTAGCTGGGACTACAGGCATGCACCACCATGCCCGGCCGATTTTTCTATTTTTTGTAGAGATGGGGTTTTGACATGTTGCTCAGCTGGTCTCAAACTCCTGGGATCAAGGAATCTGCCTGCCTCAGCCTCCCAATGTTCTGAGATTACAGATGTGAGCCACTGTACCTGGTCAGAACTTGCAAGTTATTACTATTATTATTACTAAAAAAATTCTTTGAGACGGGGTCTTGCTATGTTGCCCAGGCTTGTCTCAAACTCCTGGCCTCAGGTGATCTTCCCACCTCTGCCTCCAAAAGTGCTGAGATTACAGGTGTGAGCCACTGTGCCCAGCCAGAATTTACAATTTAGAGCTACGCTTCCCAATCTGGTAGCCACTGGCCACATGTGGTTGTTTACATTTAAATAAATTAATATTAAATCGAATCTTAAAATTCAGTTAGCATTTCAAGTGCTCACTGACCACATACAGTGGTGGCTGTAATATCGGACAGGACAGATATGGAACATTTCCATCTGTTGACAGTTGCTGGGTAATAGAGACAGGGATCTAGATTACACTGGAGGGGAGGGACAGTGAAAGCATCCCTGAAGATGATACATGAAAGCTGAGGCCTAATGGATGAGAAGTTGCCAGCAGGGTGAACTCTTGGGGAAGGCGTGTTCCAACGGAGGATACTGCATATGCAAGGTCTATGAGGCCAGATGGGTTTTGGTGGTTATGGAAGCCAAATGAACGTCAGCACAGTGGCTCATGCCTGTAATCCCAGCACTTGGGGAGGCTGAGGCAGGAGAATAGCTTGAATCTGGGAGGCGGAGGTTGCAGTGAGCCAGGATCACTCCACTGCACTCCAGCCTGGCTGACAGAGTGAGACTCCATCAGAAAAGGGGGGGGGGAGGAAGGAAGGAAGGAAGGAAGGAAGGAAGGAAGGAAGGAAGGAAGGAAGGAAGGAAGGAAGGGAGGGAGGGAGGGAGGGAGGGAGGGAGGGAGGAAGGGAGGGAAGAAAGAAGGAAGGAAGAAAGAAGAAAGAAAGAAAAAGAAAGAGAAAGAAAGAAGAAGAAAAGAAACTAAACGAAGGTGAGGCACAGTGGCTCATGCCTGTAATCCCAGCACTTGGGGAGGCCGAGGCAGGAGAATCACTTGAACCTGGGAGGCGGAGGTTGCAGTGAGCCCAAATCGCGCCACTGCACTCCAGCCTGGCTGACAGAGCGAGACTCTATCAGAAAGAAAGAAAGAAAGAAAGAAAAAGAGAGAAAGAGAGAGAGAGAGAAAGAAAGAAAAAAGAAAGAGAGAGAGAGAGGGAGGGAGGGAGGAAGGAAGGTGACAGAAGGGAGGGAGGGAGGAAAGAGAAAGGAGGGAGGAAGGAAGGAAAGAAAGAAAGAGAAAGATAGAAAGAGAAAGAGAAAAAAAAGAAAGAAAGAAAGAAAGAAAGAAAGAAAGAAAGAAAGAAAGAAAGAAAGAAAGAAAGAAAGAAAGAAAAGAAAAGAAACGAAACGAAACTACACGAAGGTGAGGCACAGTGGCTCATGCCTGTAATCCCAGCACTTGGGGAGGCGGAGGCAGGAGAATCGCTTGAACCTGGGAGGCAGAGGTTGCAGTGAGCCAAGTTCGCTCCACTGCACTCCAGCCTGGCTGACAGAGCGAGACTCCATCTCAAAAGAAAAAAAAAAAGAAGAAAAAGAAACTAAATGAAGGTCAGGCACAGTGGCTCATGCTTGTTATCCCAGCACTTTGGGAGGTCAAGGCAGAAGGATTGCTTGAGCCTGGGAGTTTGATACCAGCCCGGGAAACATAGTGAGACCCCATCTCTACAAAGGTTTTAAAATTTAGCTGGGTGCGGCTGGGCGCGGTGGCTCACACCTGTAATCCCAGCACTTTCGGAGGCGAGGCGGGCGGATCACAAGGTCAGGAGATCGAGACCATCCTGGCTAACACGGTGAAACCCTGTCTCTACTAAAAATACAAAAAAATTAGCCGGGTGTGGTGGCGGGCGCCTGTAGACCCAGCTACTCCAATGGCTTAGGTGGGAGGAACTCCTGAGCCCAGGAGTTTGAGGCTGCAGCGAGCCATGATCATGCCAGTGCACTCCAGCCTGGGTGACAGAGCGAGACCCTGTCTGCCCCATACCCCTCCCCCGCAAAAAATCGCTCGCTGCTGGGTTGAACCTTGGCTGTATGGTGGCAGGAGTGGAAGCAGGGAGACCAGAGAAGAGGTCATTGCAACAACCTGAGCAAGAAGTCAGCGTGGCTCAGCCCAGGTGGTGGCAGTGGAGGTGGGGAGGAGTGGGAAAATTTGAAAGAGACAAAAAAGATAGGAAGCTCAGGTCTTGGCAAGGGCTGATAGACAGTATCATTGAATTCTTACAAAATTCTTCTTTTGAAGAAAAGCCTGGCCGGGCACAGTTGCTCATGCCTGTTATCCCAGCACTTTGTGAGGCCAAGGCAGCCAGATCACTTGAGGTCAGGAGTTCGAGACCAGCCTGGCCAAAATGGTGAAACCCCTATCTCTACTAAAAATACAAAACTTAGCTGAGCGTGGTGGTGGGCACCTGTAATCCTAGCTACTCAGGAGGCTGAAGCAGGAGAATCGTGAACTCGTGAGCAAAGGTTACAGTGAGCGGAGATCAATCCATTGCACTCCAGCCTGGGCAACAGAGATTCCATCTCAAAAAAAAAAAAAAAAAAAAAAGGCCTGATACTGCCATTTTTCAGAAAAGGAAACAGAGGCCCCAGAGAGGAGTCGATTGCCGGAGAGTGACTGCGCAGCTGTCTGCCTGAGTGCATGCTCCTGCCCAACCCCAGGCCTTGCCTGTGTCTCCCGTTCCTTACTTGGGCCCTCGTTGCATTTGGTGGTGTTGCAACACTTCAGGAAGTGGAAGGTGTCGTTGTTGTGGAAACCACTGGAGCCTGGGCAGCTGGGAAGGTAGCCACAGCCTCGGAGGTGGCGGTCATCCTTTGGACGCCCTGTGGGGGCCAGGGAACAGAGGTCAGATGTCAGATTGTGAATGAGGGACTAAGATGGGATTTGCCCGCAATAGCAGGCATTCAACCATTCACTACTTTACCCTTCATCATAGGACCCTCATTTTATCTAGGACAGTCATAGATCTTGTCAAAAACTACATATTCCAGCCTCTCTAGGTACAGTCATGTGATGAAGTTCGGACTAATGTGATATAAATAGAAGTGCTTTCTGGGACTTCCAGAAAGGAGAACACTTACAAAAGGAGCAGTGCCCCCTTTTTTGTTCCTTCTTTCCTTCTTCCTCCTTCCTGGAACTTAGATGTGAGACCCGGAGCTCCAGCAGCCATTTTGGACTATGAGGCATTTTGAGAATGGAAGTGATGTGTAAGAAACAAGAAGGTGGCTGGGCATGGTGGCTCATGCTAGCAATCCCAGCACTTTGGGAGGCTGAGGCAGGTGGATCACAAGGTCAGGAGTTCGAAACCAGCCTGACCAACATGGTGAAACCCTGTCTCTACTAAAAATGCAAAAATTAGCCAGACGTAGTGATGCACATCTGTAATCCCAGCTACTCAGGAGGCTGAAACAGGAGAATTGTTTGAACCTGGGAGGCGGAGGTTGCAGCAAGCCGAGATCATGCCATTGCACTCCAGCTGGGCAACAGAGAGCGAGACTCCGTCTCAAAAAAAAAAAAAAAAAGAAAGAAACAAGAAGGCATCTGGGTTCTTGGTGACTCTGGAACTGTCCTTGTGGCCCTGGACCTCTTGTGTATGAGAGAACTTAGTCCCTTGCTGACATCCCTGTTACTCTGGAGTTGTTAAGTACAGTCTTGGGGAGGAGCAGAGCAGGGAGGAGGAGTTGCTGGCAGGTTGGGGCTCACCTTCTTCACCCTCCTGGATCCAGTGGGTCACCACATCCAGGCACTGTTCTTCAGGGCTGCGGCATTGCAGGCTCTGGTGCCGGCCCCTCTCACAGCTCATGTCTGATGAGCCACAGGAAATGCATTCAAGGTAACGGCTTCGGGAAACGGTGACAGCCCGGCCTGTTTGGAAGAGGGGGAGGGGAATGAGACTCCATGGGGACAGTCCTGGAGCCCTAGCTCTGCAAGGACTCACTGGGCATCAATTCCTCCTTATCCCACCCTGCAGCCAGTTACTGAGCCCTGTCTATTCTGTCTGCTGAATCTTTCTAGAATCCACGCCCTCCTTTCCAGCCCCATGGACCAGTCCAGCTCAGACCTCCTTCAACTCCAGCTACCTCCCTAGCCTCTGGGTTTCCATTCTTGTCACCCCCTACTCACCCCAGTGCAGCATTTCCACATGGCCCTAGAAGTATATTTCTTTCCCGTTTTTTTTTTTTTTTCTCATGAGACAGAGTCTCACTCCATCACCCAGGCTGGAACGCAGTGGCGCCATCTTGGCTCACTGCAACCTCCACTCCCTGGGTTCAAGTGATTCTCCTTAGCCTCCCGAGTAACTGTGACTACAGGCGTGCACCACCACGCTGGGCTAATTTTTGTATTTTTAGTAGAGACAGTAGTAGAGCTGGTCTTGAACTCCTGACCTCAAGTGATCTACCTGCCTCAGCCTTCCAAACTGCTGGGATTACAGGCATGTGCCACCACACCTGGGCCCTTAGAAGGGTATTTCTAATACTCATATTTGACCCTGTCTCTTCTCTCCTCAAGACTCTTCCATAGCTCCCTACTGCCCTCAAAATAAAATCCAAGATCTCTCATCCTGGCTAACATGGTAAAACCCTGTCTCTACTAAAAATACAAAATAATTAGCCGGGCGTGGTGGCGGCGCCTGTAGTCCCAGCTACTCAGGAGGCTGAGGCAGGAGAATGGTGTGAACCCAGGAGGCGGAGCTTGCAGTGAGCTGAGATCCGGCCATTGCACTCCAGCCTGGGCGACAGAGCGAGACTCCGTCTCAAAAAAAAAAATAAAATAAAAATAAATAAATAAATAAATAAAATAAAATCCAAGATCCTCAGCATGGGATTCAAAGCCCATCAAATACTGAGGCCCGAGCACCTCTCCTGCCTCGTCTCCCTCCACTACACCCTCAGACTCTACTCCACACTGACTTCCCACAGTCCGCGGCTACACATGTTGCCTGCCATCCAGGCCTTTGCATATGCCGTTGTCTCTGTCTAGAACACCTTTCCTTTGCTCTCTGCCTTCCCTAACTCCTACTCATTCTTCAGGTGTCAGCTCCAATTTTACCTCCTCTGGGAAGCCTTTCCTGATCCACCAGGCTGGAGCAGCTCCCACACACCCCTGGACTCCCGCATCCCACTCTGGGTGGTCACTGCCTGGTGACAGGTATGTCTCCTCTACTGGACTGTGAGCTCCAGGAGGGCAGGGCCAGGGGCTGTCTTGATCACTATTGTGTCCCAGAACCACCTGGCACAGGGCCAGGGACAGATAAGATATTCAATACATATTTGTGAAATGAATGAATGAATGAGGAATTACTTAAAACCCCTCTATTGTTCTCTGTGGTAGCCTGTCTCCAAAATGGCCCCCAATAATCTCTGCTCCCTGGTATTCATGCCCTTAAAGAATAGGGCTGGCTGGGTGCAGCGGCTCATGCCTGTAATCCCAGCACTTTGGGAGGCCAAGGTGGGAGGATTGCTTGAGTCCGGGAGTTTGAGGTCAGTCTGGGCAACATAGCAGGACTCTGTCTTTAAATTAAAAACAAAAAAATAAAAAAGAATAAGGATGCCCTATGTAGTCAACTGGATATTATGGAAATGATGGTGTGTGCCTTCTGTGGCTAGATCATAGAACACATGGCAATTTCTGCTTGGCTGTCACTCTTGGGTCATCTTTTCTGGGAGAAGCAGCAGCCATGTTGTGAGGACACTCAAGTAGCACCATGGGGAAGTTCATGTGGCAGAACTGAGGCCTGTGCCACAGCCATGGGAGGGGAGCATTCATGTGAGTGAAGCTACCTTGGGAGCCTTCAGATGATTGTAACCCCAGCTGACATCTTGACTGCAGGCTCATGAAGGATCCTAAGCCAGAACCACCTAGCTAAGCCACTCCAGGGTTTTTGACCTTCAGAAACTTTGTAAAATAATGCATGCTTATTTTATTGCTGCAATCTGTAATGCAGCAATAGAGAATAGATAAGCAATCGATAATACACTACCTAATTATCCCGGGAATCAAAGACTCACTTGACTGATTCCTGATCACTTTGCCTTTTGCACGAACCTTGCGGTGTTGGCCAACTGGATCCGTTACTTTTCCCTGGAAACACCAGAGTCATTCCTCTGCCCAGCCCTTGGCTCACACCATTTCCCATACTTGGCATGCCCTCCCTGTCCTGACCCAAGACACATCTAAGCTGAGTCCAAGCCAAGTCTTAAAAAAGTGAGAGGACCATGTCAGCCAAGGCTCTCAACTGGCAGGCCGCTAGCTGTAATTAGGCGAATCATTTACATCCAAAGCCCAATCATCCCCCTCAAAGAAAAATAACTACAAGGCCACCCATGTCTTCTCATACAAACTTCCATGAAAATGAAAACACAAATTCTCATCATTGCCAAAATAGCTGTTCACACCTAGAACGCCTTTTCCTTGTGCCCTACTTTCTCTAACTCCTACTCATTCTTCAGCTGTCATCTTCAATTTTACTTCCTCTAGGAAGCCCTCCCTGACCCGTCAGCCTGGAACAGGTACCTGCTCTGAGCTCCCACTGCCCCCTGAATTCCCCATTTCTAGTTCTGCCCACTCTGGGTGGTCACTCACGGGTCTCCTGTGTGAACTCTTTTTATGCCACTCTTCTAAATGCCAATGATCCTCAGGGCTATTTTCTTTTCTTTTCTTTTCTTTTTTTTGAGATAGAGTCTTGCTGTGTCCCCAAGGCTGGAGTGCAGTGGCACAATCATGGCTCACTGCCACCTCGACCTCCCTAAGCTCAGGTGATTCTCCCATCTCAGCCTACTGAGTAGCTGGGACTATAGGCGTGTGCCAGTACACCTGGCTAATTTTTGTATTTTTTGTAGAGACAAGGTCTTGCAATGTTACCCAGGCTAGTCTCGAACTCCTGGACTCAAATGATCCTCTCGCTTCGGCCTCCCAAAGTGCTGGGATTACAGACCTGAGTACTGTACCTGGCCAGGGCTCTGATTTAAGCCCTTTTTATTTCTCACAGTATAGACTCTTTCATGGGGTAAATATTGAAATGACTTCATTTCCATCTATCTGCTCATCACTCACAAATCTCTCTCTAGTCCAGGCTTCTCTCTGAGCTCCAGACCTGTACATGCAACTGTCTCTTCAAGGCCCCATGGCTATACCTCAAACACCTGTCCCAAACAGAACTCCCCATCTTCTCCCACAACTGCTCTTTTTCTTGAAGTCCACGCGTCCAAGGCGGCCCCATCCAGTCCCTAGGGCGGAACCTGGCAGACCCCTTGGTCTTCCACATCTGTGGATCAATCCACATGCTTCTACTGTTCCATCTTCTAGCTCTTTAATCCTTTTGCTCTGCTGTTTCTGACCTCTATCAAGCATAACTGCAGAGTTCTTCATTTGAGTCACTGTTCTATATTTTCTGTTGGACTCTTAAAAAATGGATTCCTTGGCTGGGTGCGGTGGTTCATGCCTGTAATCCCAGCACTTTGGGAGGCCAAGGCGGGTGGATCACGAGGTCAAGAGATTGAGACCATCCTGGCCAACATGGTGAAACCCTGTCTCTACTAAAACACAAAAATTAGCCAGACATGGTGGCAGGTGCCTGTAGTCCCAGCTACTTAGAAGGCTGAGGCAGGAGAATTGCTTGAACCCAGGAGGCGGAAGTTGCAGTGAGCCGAGATCATGCCACTGTACTCTAGCCTGGCAACAGAGTAAGACTCCGTCTCCCAAAAAAAAAAAAAGGATTCCAGGTGTTAAAATGTGCCCATTCTTCTGTTTTCCTGAATATATTGATTGTAGCAATTTTCATGTTTCCTGTCCTATAATCCAATATCTGAATCACTACAATTCTGTTTCTATAGTTGGATTTTTCTCTTAGTTTCTGGTCAATTGGTCCTTTTTATTTTCTTCAGGATACCTTGTAAGATTTTGTTGTTGTTGTTTATTTTTTTTGTTTTGTTTTGTTTTGAGGCAGAGTCTTGCCCTCTCGCCCAGGCTTGAGTGCAATGGTGCGATCTCAGCTCACTGCAACCTCCTTATCCCGGGTTCAAGCGATTCTCCTGCCTCAGTCTCCCAAGTAGCTGGTATTACAGGCGTGCGCCACCATACTCGGCTAATTTTTTTTTTTTTTTTTTTTTTGTATCTTTAGTAGAGAAGGGGTTTCACCATGTTGGCCAGGCTGGTCTTGAACTTCTGACCTCCTGATTCGCCCACCTCGGCCTCCCAAAGTGTTGGGATTAGAGGTATGAGCCACCATGCCCAGTCTGGTTTTTTTTTTTTTTAAGATGGGGTCTTTCTACATTGTCCAGGCTGGTGTGCAGTGGCTATTCATAGGGATAATCCTGCTACTGATCAGCACAGGAGTTTTGACCTGCTCCATTTCTGAGCTGGGCTGCTCCAACCCCTCCTTAGACAACCTGGTAGTCCCCTGCTCCTGGGAGATCAACATATTGATGCCAAACTTAGTTCAGACACCCTATTGATATAGCACATTACAGCCCAGAACTCTCAGGCTCAAGTAATCCTTCCAAGTAGCTGGGATTATAGACGCATGCCACCATGCCTCGCTATCTTGTAAATTTTGATGAGATGCCAGACATTATAGATAAAAATCTGTCAAGGGCCTAAACGATGTTTTCTTCTTCCACAGAGAGTCAGGTTTTCATTCCTGTCAAGTATTGGACCTAGGCTTGTTTAGGGCTCTTCTATTTCACTTTGGCCCTTACCCCTAGGGTGGTCTTAGGGGGAAAGCCTGAGATGCTTGCCAAGGCCTCTCCAGCTTGGCAACCTGTGTCCCCAGCATCACATGTCTGCTGGAAGCCTTGTTCGCTTTTGTAGCTTCCCAGTTGCTATTTTTCTCTTCCAAGTTTCTTAGACTCTCACCCTGTGCATGTACAGCTTGCCAATGACTTGAGGGAGATTTGTTTGCAGGTTGGGAACTCCCTTTTCTGTGGTCCCATCCATTCCAGGATTTTAACTCTCATCTTCCAGACATTCTGGCAGCCCCAAACTCCAACCTCCGTCTTCTCAGTCTAGCGACTCTTTCTGTCTGGGCTCTATTTCCCTTCCACAGCAGCAGATTGGCAAGTGCACTCCGGGAAAAAGCCAGGTTGTCTGTGGAACCCACATTTTATGCTTCCCTTATTTCAGAGGTTGTAGTGCCTCAAGTTTCTCCTTTCTTTCTTTCTTTTTTCTTTTTGAAATGGAGTCTTGCTTTGTCGCCCAGGCTGGAGTGCAGTCTTGTGATCTTGGCTCACTGTAACCTCTACCTCCCAGGTTCAAGCAATTCTTGTGCCTCAGCCACCCAAGTAGCTGGGACTACAGGCATGTGCCACCACACCTGGCTAACTTTTGTATTTTTAGTAGAGACAAGGTTTTGCCATGTTGCCCAGACTGGTTTTGAACTCATGAGCTCAAGTGATTCACCTGCCTTGGTCTCCCAAAGTGCTGGGATTACAGGCATGAGCCACTTCGCCCGGCCAAGTTTCTCCTTTCATTTGCTGCTCTCCAGTGACTTCTAATCATTGTTTATTATTTGTCCAGCATTTGCAACTGTCATTGGCAGAAGGGTTGGTCTGATACAAGTGACTCCATCATGACCAGAATTGCAGGTCCCCTCCCACATTTAATCTACCACTAAGGCCTGCTTCTAAATAGCACTTTTTTGGCTTTTGTTGAGACAGGGTTTTTCTCTGCCACCCAGGCTGGAGTGCAGCGGTGTGATCACTGCAGCCTCCAGCTCCTGGGCTCAAGCAATCCCCCTGCCTCGGCCTTCCAAAGTGCTGGGATTACAGATGTGCACCACTGTGCCTAGCCTGAACAGCTCTTAAATCTATCCACTTCTCTTCCTCTGCATATCTGACACCCTAGTCCTGCTGCCCTCTTCTCCACCTGGACAACCTCACCCACCCCCAGGTTGGTTTCCTGTCATCTACTCTTGCTTCCTTTCAATCTATCTTCTGTCCTGAGGTCAGAATAATTTGTTAAAAATATAAATGAGGGCCAGGTGCAGTGGCTCATGTCTGTAATCCCAGCACTTTGGAAGGCTGAGGCGGGCAGATCACAAGGTCAAGAGTTCAAGACCAGCCTGGCCAACACAGTGAAACCCCATCTCTACTAAAAATACAAAAAAATTAGCCGGGCATGGTGGCGGGTGCCTGTAGTCCCAGTTACTTGTTAGGCTGAGGCAGGAGAATCGCCTGAACCTGGGAGGCAGAGGTTGCAGTGAGCTCAGATCGCACCATTGCCCTCTAGCCTGGGCAAAAACAGAGAAACTCCGTCTCAAAAAAAAATAACAATAAATAAATGTGATCATTACATTCGCTGTTTAAAACCTTCTGTGATGGCCCAGTGCTCCCAGGACGACGTCTAGAAGCTCCTGTGTAACATGCTCCTGCCAAGCTTTCCAGCTCATCTTGCCCCACTGTTTCCTTCATCCAGCTACACTGCTTTTGGCCACCTTTGTATCTGTTGCTCCCTCTGCTGGACTGCTGGAAAACCCTTTCCACTGTCTTTTTTTTTTTTTTTTTTTAACAGGATCTCGCTCTGTCACCCAGGCTGGGGTACAGTGGCACGATCATAGCTTATTGCAGCCTCCACCACGTGAGCTAAAGTGATCCTCCTGCCTCAACCTCCCAAGGAGCTGGGATCACAGGCATATGCCATCATGTCTGGCTAATTTTTGTATTTTTGTATTTTTTGTAGAGTCATGTTGCCTAGGCTGGTCTGGAACTCCTGGGCTGAAACAGTCCTCCCACCTGGGCCTCCCAAAGTGTTGGGATTACAGGCATGAGCCACCGCACCCGGCCTCCACTGGCTGTTTAATAGTCTGATTCCTACTCATCCTTCAAGATCCAGCTTAGCTATTGCTTCCCCTAGGAAACCTTCCCTGACCTGAGTCAGGTATCTCCTCTGGGGTCCCACAGCCCCTACTCTTCCCTCATCCCAGCCCTGAACCCTCTGCCTGTGTTTCCCCCTTCCTAGCCCAGACTAATCTATTAGGTTGGTGCAAAAGCAACTGCGGTTTCTGCTGTTGCTTTTAATGGCAAAAGCCGTAATTACTTTTGCATTAACCTAATAATCAGTCACTGTCTGGTGATGGGTCTGTCACCCCTACACACACACACACACACACACACACACACACACACACACACACACAGGACTGTGAGTCCCATGGAGTCAGGCAGTGTGGGGAAAAGAGACACAGTAACAGGCTGATCTCTCTTTCTTTTCCCCACAAGGCAGGGCACAAGGCTGTCTTGGTCCCTGCTGTGTCCCCAGCATCATATAAGTACTGAGTGCAGTTTAACCAACTATTCAAGTTGCCACAAGCAGGATACGATGGCATTATAAATGGGGATGAGGCCGGGCGCAGTGGCTCACGCTTATAATTCCAGCACTTTGGGAGGCTGAGGCGGGTGGATCACCTGAGGTCGGGAGTTCAAGATCAGCTTGACCAACATGGAGAAACCTCGTCTCTACTAAAAGTACAAAATTAGCCGGGCGTGGTGGCGCATGCCTGTAGTCCCAGCTACTTGTGAGGATGAGGCAGGAGAATCACTTGAACCCGGGAAGTGGAGGTTGCGGTGAGCTGAGATCGTGGCATTGCACTCCAGCCTAGGCAATAAGAATGAAATTCCATCTCAAAAAAAATAAAAAGAAAAGAAAAGAAATAGGGAGGATATAGGTATCTCAGTTATTAGATTACTGAATTGACAGCTGCTGCTCCAAGCTCCTGGTGGACCCCGACCACTCCCAACTCTCTCCCCAGGACCCTTCATGTCCCTGTGACCCATCATGGAAAGGGGTAACACCAGGCCCAGCAGGGGACTCCAGGAGTTTGTCGTGGCACTCATCAATATTTTAAAATATTTTCACTATCATCTCTGATTGAATGCACTACTTAGACCCAAGTATTGGTGCTTTCCTTAAGCGCATCTCACCGAGACAGGAAGCCCACATCCTCTCTTGTCACTTCCTCAAAACAAACCTCTGATTTGGCCCCGCCAACAGATTAGCGTTTGAGGACAGGATGGATGAAAACCAGGCAGAATCAGGAAGAGTGAAGAACAAAGAAAACCCAGTGCAAACTCAGCCCTCTGCTCACTGCCGTCACCATGACTAGACTGGCCTTACCCTATTTCCTTCCTCACTAGCTCCAGAAAGAGGAATCTCTTTCACAGATGGATCCATGCACTGTGGACCCATTCCTTCCCCACCCTTCCTGTCCTGTGGGAATTTAGGAGAATTTGACCTTTTCTAAGTCTTTTTCTTAAAATGATCAGAGCCTGAAGCCATGGAATTTGACAAAGGGGCTTATGAATATTTCTTTCTCTCTCTCTTTCTTTCTTTCTTTCTTTTCTTTCTTTCAGACAGGGCTTATGTCTCTTTCTATGTTTCTCTTTCTTTCTCCTTCCTTCCTTCCTTTTTCTCTTTCTCTTTCTTTCTTTCTCTTCTTTCTCTCTTCTCTCTCTCTCTTTTTCTTTCTTTCTTTTTCTTTCTTTCTCTTTCCTTTTTTTTTTCCTTCTTTGTGTCCCTTCCTTCCCTTGTCTCTTTCTTTCTCTTCCTTTCTCTCTTTCTGTCTCTCTTTCTTTCTTTCTTCTTTCCTTTCGGACAGGGTCTCACTCTGTTGCCCAGGCTGGAGTGCAATGGCATGATCACAGCTCACTATAGCCTTGATCTGCCAGGCTCAAGTAATCCTTCCACCTTAGCCTCCTGAATAGCTAGGACTACAAGTGTGTACCACTATGTCCGGCTACTTTTTGTTTATTTTTTGCAGAAACTGGGTCTCACTATGTTGCCCAGGCTGGTCTTAAACTCCTGGGCTCAGGCAGTTCTCCTGCCTTGGTCTCGCAAAGTGCTTGGATTACAGGTGTGAGCCACCACATCCAGCCTGTTATGGACATTTCTTCACATTTTTTTTTTCACTGCCCAAGCCAGAGACCATCTATTGCAGAGGATTCTCCCAGCCTACTGTGGCCCATTTAATCCTCCCCTCTTTTAACTTCCCTTAAGAACATCAAGTCTTTGCTTGAATCCTGGCCCCTCAGCATCTATTGCTTGGACCATCTCCCATCCCAATGGATTCGGTAGGACCATCTCCTGCCCAGTCAGATGGACAAACATCACTGAGACGTCTCATCTATGTCTCATGCACGCGTGTGAGCTTAAGGGCAGAGTTGCAAGTTATACCTAACAACCATACATACAAACATGCAGGAGGGGATTGGGTTAAGGATGAAAGTAATTGAGTCATTGGGGTGGGGATTTGGATAGTCTGAGATGAGGATGGGGTTGATTTGGGGATGGGGCTGGAACTGTGTTTGGAACAGGGCTGAGTTTGAGTTGGGCACAGTGTTGGGGTAACATGAAGTTGGGGATAGGATTGAAGGTGAAGCTGAGTTGGGGTTGGATATTGGGTCAAGAATGGGTTGGGGATGGGGCTGAGCTAGAGATGGGTTGGGCTGGGGTTGGGACTTGGATAAGGCATGGAGTTGGGGTTCAGCTAATGTAAAGTTAAGAGTAGGATTGGGATGATGATGAGGTTGAGCTGGGCATGGCTTGGGGTTGGGGATGGCAAGGGCTGCCGTACTCACCAGAGTTGCCCTGGTTGCACAAGTCTAACCCACACACAACCTCGGTAAGGCTGGTGATCTTCAAGCCAGTCCGATAGCTCATGGTCCTGTTGGTCTTCTCTGAGTGGGTACAGCTTTTCTCCACCAGCTCCAGCTCTTCCCCTTCTGCAAAGAGGGGATCTTCATTACCACAGAGGCTCCTCTCAGCCCAACCAGTCTCTGACAGTCCTGGTCTCAAGGTCATCCGCTCCCAGGGCTGATTTTTGGTAGGCCTCTTCTCTTGTTTGAGTCCAACTCTGTCTTTTTCTAGAGTTAACCTTGACTCTACCCCCATTCCAACAAGGAGCCTGCTCTATTTTATTTTAATTATTATTTTTTTTTTTTTTTCTGGGAGACAGGGTCTTGCTCTGTCACCCAGGCTGGAGTGCAGTCGCAAGATCTCAGCTCACTACAACCTCTCCCTCATGGATTCAGGCGATTCTCCTGCCTCAGCCTCCCAAGCAGCTGGGACTACAGGCACATGCCATCACGCTTGGCTAATAATTAATTAATGTTTTAAGAGACAAGGTATCGGCCAGGTATGGTGGCTCATGCCTGTAATCCCAGCACTGGGAAGCCAAGGTGGGCAGATCACGAGGTCAGAAGATCGAGATCATCCTGGCTAACACAGTGAAACCCTGTCTTTACCAAAATGTTTTTTGCATTTTCCAAAAATGCAAAAAACACCAGGTGTGGTGGCGTCCCATGGTGTAGTCCCAGTTACCTGGGAGGCTGAAACAGAAGAATCACTTGAACACGGGAGGCAGAGGTTGCAGTGAGCTGAGTCTGCACCACCGCACTCCAGCCTGGGCGATAGATTGAGACTCCATCTCAAAAAAAAAAAAAGAAAAGAAAAAAAAAGAGACAGGGTCTCACTCTGTCACTCAGGCTGGAGTGCAGTGGTGCAATCATAGCTCACTGCAACCTTGACCTCCCAGGCTCAAGCAATCCTGCCTCCTCAGCCTCCCGAGTAGCTGGGACTACAGGCGCCCGCCACCACGCCCGGCTAATTTTTTTTTTTAATTTTTAGTAGAGACGGGGTTTCGCCGTGTTAACCAGGCGGTCTTGATCTCCTGACCTCGTGATCCACCCTCCTCGGCCTCCCAAAGTGCTGGGATTACAGGCGTGAGCCACCATGCCTGGCCCCATTATGTAATTATTACCACAGTGTCTTCTGCTGCTGACTTGCTGACTGACTTAAAGTCATTTCCATTTTCTTCTTTTCTTTCTTTCTCCCCTTCCTTCCTTCCTCCCTCCTCTCTCCCTCCCTTCCTCCCTTCCTTCCTTTCTTTCTTTCCTTTCTTCCCTTCCCTTCCTCTTTCTTTCTCTCTCTATTTCTTTCTTTCTTTCTTTCTTTTTTTCTTGAGATGGAGTTTCACTCTTGTCACCTAGGCTGGAGTGCAATGGCATGATCTCAGCTCACTGTAACCTCCGCCTCCCGGGTTCTAGCAATTCTCCTGCCTCAGCCTCTCGAGTAGCTGGGATAACTGGCACCCAACACCACACCTGGCTAATTTTTGTATTTTTTAGTAGAGACAGGGTTTCACCATGTTGGCCAGGCTGGTCCTGAACTCCTGACCTCAGGTAATCCACCTGCCTCAGCCTCCCAAAGTGCTGGGATTACAGGCATGAGCCACCACGCCCGGCCCACATTTCTCTCTTTCGTTCATTTTTTTGACAGGGTCTCACTCCATTGCCCAGGCCGGAGTGCAGTAGCATGATCTCAGCTCACTGCGACCTCCGCCTCCCAGGTTCAAGCAATTCTCCTGTCTCAGCCTCCTGAGTAGCTGAGATTACAAGTGCGTGCCACCACACCTGGCTAATTTTTCCTTTTTTTTTTCTGTAGAGACGGGTGTTTCACCATGTTGGCCAGGCTGGTCTTGAACTCCTGACCTCAAGCAATTCATCTGCCTCTGCCTCCCAAAGTGCTGGGAATACAGGTGTGAGCCAGTGCTCGGCCTGTTTCCAATTTTCCATGTCACAAACATTGCTGCTAAGAACATTCTTATACATGTATCCCTGGGTATATGTGGCCAAGGTTCTTTGGCATTTCTGCATGCCGAGGAGTTGAGCTGTAGCATATGCTAATCTTCTTCTGGACTAGATATTGCCAAATCGCTCTAGGTGGTTGATGTGCCAATTTACTCCCCCACCACAGACACGGTCTGCAACTCCACATCCTTACTAACCCGGGTATTGTCAGATTTTTAAAGGCTTGCCAGTCTGGTGGGTGTGAAATGGGCTCTCCTTGTTTGTTTGTTTGTTTTTAGTTTGCATTTCCCAGTTACGGGTGAGGAAGGTTTCTCAATCACTCGCGTTCCATGCTGCGCTGGAGGGGTGTGTGTGTGGGAGGGAAGCTCACCTTCCCACATGCGCACGATCGTGGTCCTGCAGAGGTCCTGTCCTAGGGCGCACTCTTCCACCCGGCAATCCCCGTTGCTCTTACACTGCATGCACCGCAGGCCCCAAGAGGCTGGGGGAAGGAGGGAGAGGAGAGGAGAGGAGAGGAGAGGAGAGGAGAGGAGAGGTTAACTTCGCTTAGCTCCAAGACCCCCCGCTCGCCCCTGCATGTCCCAATACCAACACCAAGTCTCTAGGCCCCGTCCATTCTGATTCGTGTTCCATGTTCTGCTGGGTTCCGGCCGGCGGTACTTCCAGTCTGTCCTTTGTCCACGTTCTACCTCCATCCCCCTAACTGAACGTTCTATCCCTGCCCACAAGTCCTTTCCCAAAGTCCTGTCCTGGCCTGTTTTTCCTTTCATTCTGTCCTCGTGAGGCGTATATCCTGACAGTCCTATCCCCGCCCTCTCTGTCTATCAGTACGTTCTATTCCTGCTCCCATTAGGCCCTTCTCACCGCGCCGGCCCTCGGTGGATCACGCCTCTCCAGTTCCACTAGGGGAGTTCTAGCCTCGCCCCACCCCTGTCTATCTTTATGTTATACCGCCACTCCTAGTGCCCTAATGGAACTATCCCTCCACTCACTCCCCCTGGTTCTACCCGGCTCCAGAGCCTCTCCCCGCCCACTAGTTTATTCCCAAATTGTAGCCCGGGCCATCAGCCCTCCCGAGTTTCTATCGTCAGATACTCTAGTTTCCCGCGAAGTTCTGTCTCCGCCCTCCAGCTACCCAACTAGGTTTTGGCCCCGCCCTAGACACCTCCTCGAGGTTCTAGCCCCGCCCTCTAGCTCTTCCTGACCTAATCTTCTCGCCCCCTGGCTTCTCCCCGATGCCATAACCCCGCGCCTAGCTCCTCCTCGAGGCTCTAGCCCTGTCCTCTAGCTCCTCCTTGTGGTTCTAATTTTGCCCTTTGGCTTTCCCCGAGGCTCTCCCCGCCGCTAGTTCTTCCCTGAGGTCATAACTCCACCCCAGTCCCTCCTTGAGGTTTCAGCCCCACCCTGTACTCCTCCCCGAGGTCGTAACCCCGCCCCTTGGCCCCTTGAGGTCCTAACTCAGCCCCGTAGGTCCTCCCCAAGCTTATAACCCCGCCCCTAGCTCCTCCTTGATGTTCCAGCCCCGCCCTCTAGCTCCTCCCCGATGTTATAATCCTATTCCTTAAGATTCTAGTCCCGCCTTCCAGCTCCTCCCCCGAGGTTATAAGTCCGCCCTCTAGTTACTCCTCGAGGTTATAACCCCGCCCTCTGGCCCCGCCTCGAGGTTCTAGCCCCGCCCCTAGCTCATCCTCGGGGCTATAACCTCTCCCCAAGCTCTTCCTTGAGGTTCCAGCCCCGCCCTCTGGCTCCTCCCCGACACTCTCTCCCCGCCCCAGGCTCCTCCCTGAGATTGTAGCCCAGTCCCTAGTCCGGACCTCTGGGCCTTCCCCGACATCGCCTTCCAGCTGTGCGTTCAGAGTATCCCGGAGTTGTTACTCATTCCAGGCCTCCCGCGGTCTCGAGCGCTTTCCGGGTTATTCATTGCGGCCGCAACACCCCGTGGCCACCCGCCCTGACTCAGTTCCTTCTCAAATTCCTCTTGTTTCTCTACCCAGTGCCCCCCACATTTTCCGGGGAAGTAGGTGAGAGTCGCCTCAGTGAGAGGGAAAGGTCCTGAGGGACAGTCCCGGGTCTCCAGCAGTGGCTCTGCACCGCTCAGTCAGCCTCCCTTGGCCCTTTTGTAAAAGGGAGTCCTGTCCGCTCGTTTCTCGGAGGGGGAGACCTGGCAGCATGGAGAGCGCTGGGGGGCGCTGCGGGGTCAGATCCTGCTTATTCGAGCACTGGCTGTGTGATTTTAGGCCAGTTATCTAACCTCTCTGTGCCCCAGTTTCCTCTGCGAAACGAAATTAATAATAGTCCCATCGTCAAACGAAATTAATAATAGTCCCATTTTATAGTTCCTTGAAATTACAAGGAAGAGGCTTCGAAGAGCTCCATTAAAAAAAAAAAAAAAAAAAGCACTTGGGCTGGGCGCGGTGGCTGACGCCTGTAATCCCAGCACTTTGGGAGGCCGAGGCAGGGGGATCACGAGGTCAGGAGATTGAGACCATCCTGCCTAACACGGTGACACCGGTCTCTACTAAAAATACAAAAATTAGCCGGGGGCGATGGCAGGCGCCTGTAATCCCAGCTACCCAGGAGGCTGAGGCAGGAGAATCGCTTGAACCCGGGCGGCAGAGGTTGCAGTGAGCCAAGATCGCGCCACTGCACTACAGCCTGGGTGACAGAGTGAGACTCCGTAAAAAAAAAAAAAAAAAAAAAAAAAAAAAAGCACTCACTAAATTATGTAAAGCTAAATGCCTTTGCTCCACTAATATTTCCTTAGCTACCGAGAGCCAGGTACTGCGCCGCGTAGTGTTGCACAAAGCACGAAACTTACTATAATTTGATTAGGGAGGGTGCTGGGGACTGAACCCCATTCCTCAACTCATCCTCTGACAACCCCCACTCCCCTCAATCAGACCCTGTTCCAGGCGCAGGCGTTCGGGACCCAGCCCCTACCTGGGACGCAGGTGTGGAGCAGCAGCAGCAGTGGCAGCAGCAGCGGGTGACCCATGTCGCGAAGGCAGCTCCTGTGCGCGGGGTCCCTGCACTTCTCTCCTTCTGGCCTCAGGAAGGAGGCAGTTTTGTGGCCCCAGGGGCTCCTCCCAGACGTTTTGTGAAAGAGCGAGTCAGCCCCAGATGCGTGGGCGCCTCCCCCTCCTCCCGTAGGAACCTCCTCCGCCCCAAACTTCCCTTCCCGGGGCGCGGCCAGCTGGTGGTGAAGGGGTTGGCTCGGCCCTGACTCATGGAGCTGTGGTCACAGCTGTGTCCCCAGACTGCCTGGGTGCAATTCCCAGTTCTCTTTCTTCCTAATGTGGGACCCGGGGCATTCGCTCTCCACTGCTGTAAAATGAGGATAAAAGCTTTGACGGTAAATATGAATGTGGCTGATTATTAGCTAACAGGATTTTTGTTAGTTTTGTCAGGAGGGATAATGTCCTTATCTAGAGAGGCATCCTGAAATATGCATCTCTTAAACACTTAACACACTTAACCCTTGCTTTGCTTCCTGCTGTGCCCCCAGCTCCTGGACCAGTGCCCAGCACAAAGTAGGTCCTTGGTAAATGTTAAAAGAATGCGTTGAGCCCTCCATTTCGGCCAGCAGCTATTCCAAGCATTGCACCTACATTAAAACACTTAATGGTGAAACCCCGTCTCTACTAAAAATACAAAAATTAGCCGGGCGTGGTGGCGTGCGCCTGTAATCCTAGTTACTTAGGAGGCTGAGGCAGGAGAATCGCTTGAACCCGGGAGGCGGAGGTTGGGTTGCAGTGAGCCGAGATCGTGCCACTGCACTCCAGCCTGGCACAGAAGGAGACTCCGTCTCAAAAAACAAACAAAAAACACTTCAGCCAAAAATGTAAAAAGATACACTGTTACGACAATGGCTTTGTGCTTAGGTGGATTTTTTTTTTTCTTTTTTTTTTTTTTTTTTTTTTTTTTCCAGATGCTCACTAGAGTATTTAGGGGTGAATGTGACTGATGTCTGCATTTTTTTGTTGTTGTTTTGGAGATTTTTGGTTTTTTTTTTCTTTTTTTTTTCTTTTTCTTTTGTTTTCATTTTGATGTCTGTATTTATTTTATAATACTTTAGAAGAGGTCAGATGAGGTGGTTCATGTCTGTAACACCAATGCTTTGGGAAGCCAAGGCAGGAGGATCACTTGGGGCCAGAAGTTCAAGACCAGCTTGGGAAACATAAAGAGACCTTGTCTTTCCAAAAAAAAATTAAAAATAAAATAAAATTAGCTGGGTGCAGTGGCCCGTACCTGTAGTCCTAGGTAGTTGGGAGGCTAAGGTGGGAGGATCGCTTGAGCCTGGGAACTGGAAGCTGCAGTGAGCTATGATTGCACCACTGCACTCCAACCTGGGCAACAGAGCAAGACCCTGTCTCAAAAAATAAATAAATAAATAAATAAATACTTGAGTGGAAAATAAAGGCAAAATAGCCAAATGGTTGTATCAATTATATAAAGGTATTGGGTATATAGGGGCATATTATGCCATTCTGTCTCCTTTTCTGTGTGTTTGAAAAGGCTTATAATAAGTTTTTTCTTTCTTTTTGTTATTTATTCATTTATTGAGACAAAGTCTCACTCTGTCACCCAGGCTGGAGTGCGGTGGTGCTATCTTGGTTCACTGCAATCTCTGCCTCCTGGGTTCATGCGGTTCTCCTGCCTCAGCCTCCTGAGTAGCTGGGATTACAGGCACCCGCCACCACGCCCTGCTAATTTTTGTCTTTTTAGTAGAGATGGGGTTTCCTCATGTTGGCCAGGGTGGTCTCGAACTCCTGACCTCAGGTGATCCTCCTGTCTTCACCTTCCAAAGTGCTGGGATTACAGGCATGAGCCACTGCACCTGGCCAAGTTTTTTTTTTTTTTTAAGTAAAATAAAACACTAAAGATAACATTGTCGCCCCTTCTTAGGATGCGTCTAGCTAAACAGAGCAATTTAATGTAGGTGCAATGCCTGAAATGGCTGCCGGCCAAAATGGAGGGCTCAACACATTCCTTTAACTTTTACCAAGGACATAATTTGTGCTGGGCACTGGTCCAGGAGCTGGGGGCACAGCAGGAAGCAAAGCAAAGTTCCCACCTTTTGTGGTGTTGACAGTGGGGAGCAGATACGTGTTATCTAAACTTTCACTGTCTGAGAGGGATAAGCAAACTGGAGAAAGCAAAGCAGGCTGAAGGAAGTACCTGGGTGTAAGTGAGGCGTGAGCTGTTTTAGGTGGGTGATCCAGGAGGGGTTCCCTGCGCAAGTGGCATTCAGGCAGAGGCTGAATGCAGTGAGGGAAGAAGTGGGGCAGATGTGCAGGGAACCTTTCCAGGAAGCAGAAACAGCCAGTGCAAAGGCCTTGAGGGGGAAGCCTGATGAGATTCTAGGAATGGAAGAGATGTCAGTGTGGCTAGAACAGAGTAGGAGAGGAAGAGAGTCATAGGGGATGAGTAAGTGGTAGCTACTTCTACTGCTGTAATAATGATTATACTATGTGATTTGTTGTTGCTGTTTTTGAGATGGAGTCTAAGTTTGTCTCCCAGGCTGGAGTGCAATGGCGTGGTCTCGGCTCACTGCAATTTCCACCTCCTGGGTTCAAGTGATTCTCATGCCTCAGCTTCCTGAGTAGTTGGGATTACAGGCATGCCTGGCTAATTTTTTTTTTTTTTTTTTTTTTGAAATGGAGTATCTTTCTTGTTACCCAGGCTGGAGTGCAATGGTGCAGTCTCGGCTCACTGCAACCTCTGCCTCCCAGGTTCAAGAGATTCTCCTGCCTCAGCCTCCTGAGTAGCTGAGATTACAGGCATTCTCCACCACGCCTGGCGATTTTTTTTGCATTTTTAGTAGAGACGGGGTTTTACCACGCTGGCCAGACTGGTCTTGAACTACTGATTTCAGGTGATCCACCCACCTCAGCCTCCCAAAATGGTGGGATTACAGGCTTGAACCACCGCGCCTGGCCCTAATTTTTGTATTCTTAGTAGAGATGGGGTTTCGCCATGTCGGCTAGGCCAGTCTTGAACTCCTGACTTCAGGTAATCCACCTGCCTCAGCCTCCCAAAGTTCTGGGATTACAGGCGTGAGCCACCGCACCTGGCCCTAATTTTTGTATTGTTAGTAGAGATGGGGTTTCACCGTATATGCCAGGTTGGTCTCTAACTCCTGACTTCAGGTGATCCACCCACCTTGGCCTCCCAAATTGCTGAAATTACAGGCGTGAGCTACTGCTTCCAGCCTATACTATGTGATTCTTACTAATTCATTGAAGCTGTAAGCTAATGATTTTAAGATAAGGTTAGAAAACAAAAAACAAAAAACTCCCAATGGTGAGCACGGCGGTTCATGCCTGTAATCTCAGCACTTTGGGAGGCGAAGGCTGGAGGATCGCTTGAGCTCAGGGGTTCGAGACCACCCTGAGCCACAAAGTAAGACCTTGTCTCCATAAAAAAATAAACAAAATTACAGCCTGGACTACATAGTGAGACCTTGTCTCTACAAAAAATACAAAAATTAGCCAGGCGTGGTGGTGCACACTTGTGGTCTCAGCTACTCAGGAGGTTGAGGTGGGAGGATCACTTGAGCCTCAGAAGTTTGAGGCTGCAGTGAGCCAAAATTGAGCTACTGAACTCCAGCCTGGGCAACAAAAGTGAGACTGAAAAAAAAAAAGAACTCCCAAAGAATTTCCTAAGAAGTAGTATAGCCCAGTGGTTAAGAGTGTGGGAACTGGTCTCAGATTTTGAGAATTTAAATTCCATCTACATATTGGCTGTGTCACCTCTAGCAGGTTACTTAATCTCTCTGTGTGCCCAAGCCCCTTATCTTGAAAGTAGAGATAGCAACGATCACCCTCCCAGGGCTGGTGTACTGGGGAGCTAAAAGAATCCACCTAAAACGACTGAGCGTGGTGGCTCACGTCTGTAATACCAGTGCTTTGGGAGACCAAGGCAAGTGGATCACTTGAGATCAGGAGTTCAAGACCAGCCTGGCCACCATGGCAAAACCCTGTCTCTACTAAAAAATACAAAAAAAAATTAGCTGGGTGTGGTGGCATGCACCTGTAGTCCCAGCTACTCAGGAGGCTGAGGCACGAGAATTGCTTGAACCTGGGAGGCAGATTGCAGTGAGCCAAGATCGCACCATTCCACTCCAGCCTGTGCGACAGAGCTAGACTCCATCTAAAACAAACAAACAAACAAAAAGAAGAATGCACCTAAGATGCTTGCCACAGTGCCTGGTACATAGTATGTGCTCAATAAAAGCAATAGCTGCCAGTATTATCGTTGTTGCAACTCGGGACTTTCACCTCTTCCTGGAGTAGGAAGGAAGATGGAGGCCTGTCATTGAGTCTGACGTCAGCAGTTATCATGCGTCAGCTGCTGAAGTGGGACCTTCCCTGGCTGGGTCACCTGGGCC